ATTTTCCCCCAGATGACGTTGCATCTCCTTATAGCCAAGAATAAAAGTGCCAAATCAGGAGTTTGAGGTGGCGTAAAAAACAACCGTCCAGNTAAAGCGGTCCAGGCTTACAAGGGAACATTTTTCAGACAACGGTTGAGAATTTGCTCAAAATTTGCATACTTATATTATATAATAGTGATCTTTTCGATCGGTCTTTACATCATCCTATCGTTAAGAAACGGGAACTTCAGCCCCTGAAAATTGCTCAATTTTGCTCTTTTCNAGNAGGGGGGGGTATACATGTCTTATCATCTTATCAACCACCTATTTGGTTTCTTCCCTTCTTTTCACAATATTTCCAACTATTTTCTATGTTTCCCGGCACGGAGAATCCCTTGCTCCAAATGTATTTATTTTTCCATCGTCATAAAATTTCAATACCTTCTCATTAGAGCGCAACCGCATACCACACAAATCCTATCTTTATAACCCTTCCAAACTGCTCCAAGGGGAAGTCACAGAGCCGAAATACAATGTTAAAAAACTGTCTATACTTTTCGATTTGTTCTTGTAAAACGAACAAATTTGCAGGAGTTTTTGAAGTTTCGGCTTGAAAATTTGCCCGATTTCAGGCTTTTTAGTGACTTTCAGACTTGGAAGCATTGTAAATATGGGTGTGATTGAAACAAAAATTTCAAAAAAAAATCTTATCGGAGTTTTTGATTCTTCTTTTTTGCCCTACATAAGTCAAAATTGTTGAATGATAACTCAGAAAATGCGAATTCTGATTCTTGGTTCCCTTCTTCTAGTTTTCGGCGTTGATGCCGAAATACCAGGTAATCAAAATGATCGTAACTTGCATTTTGAGCTCAATTCTCTTGATTCCTAAAAGAGATAACAAAAATCTAAACTTTACCAGTTTTCATCATTTTAGCACCAACGCTTTTATGGTTTAAAGATTTTTTAAATCTCTTACGGAAATTGAGAAAAGTCAGCTCAAAGTGTAAGTTGTCTTTCGGAGCATTTGCGATGTCTTGAATTCAGACATCTTCTTAATGAGCTGAGATTTCTACTATGAAAAATTGCAGAGTGTCGCGGAACTACAGTTGTTAACAAACCTGGCACCTCTCCGTTGTACCCAAAGAATTACAACTGCTTCTATCAGGTTCCTTTTTTTAGGAATTTTGAGTTTTAATTTTAAAAAGGTCACACAAACCACCCATACTTTTTCCAGATCAATGTAGACAACCGGGTGGTCTGCTAGAGTCAAGCTGAGTTTGAAAGCAACTGATACATGGATGTATGTAAAAGTGTTTGGTCCGCTTGGTTCTGAAGAAGAGTGCGTTGGATATAATCAATTTTTAAAGTTTGTATGAAAAAATTCAGAGTTTATTCTGCTGAATCTGAAGAATTTTTCTTTATTTCGGATGGTGGAACAATTCAATTACAAACCGGAAATGGAACCGTTCAGTTTGGTTTTACAGTTGATTGGGTGCAAAGTGAGGCTTTTACTTGATTTTTTCTAATTCAAAATTCCTGAACAGACGGGGTAGTCCACGGGCGGGAATCCACCATGCTTTTGAGGAAGATTCTCGGCGATTATTTGCTGTATTTTTCCAAGCGGTGGCCGCGTTGCTCGGGGCTAGGACCTCCCAAAACCCTCATTACAATCGTTTCGCAACTTTCAAAATACATTTTAATGAAATTTTTTGAATTGAAAATATTTACTCAGACGGTCCCTTCTCACCATCCGAAATCCGTGTCAATCAATCTTCGACGCTTCCTCCAACCTCTGGAATCCTCAAATTATCCTCAATTCTTGTTACCGCAGACACCCATGTCTCCCTCACGGCGATTGCTTACAACACCGTCGATTATTATATGTTACTCCGAGGTGTACTAGTCTATGATGGTCCCGATTTGAATTCCCCATACGTTGGAACCGTATATCAATTGTGGACCAGTCAGACTCAATATGTTTCCACTAGAAATCAACTAACCATCCAGTTTTTGAATCGAAATCAACTTTTACAAGAACAAATGCTCGTTATACAAGATTATGAGAATACCAAAGGAATTGCTCATTTCCTGGGAGTGTCTTGTCAAAGCGGAACTAATTGTGGAAAATTTTCAATTGATGCTTCAAATGGTCCGGTGGCAATTCAAACTATTTATTCGGCGAATCTGTTAGAGGTCGATGTGCTCACAGAAATCGATGGAACCGGAACTCTGGAAGTTTATATGGGAGGAGTCACCAAGAATAAAGATAATGTATTAGCATATTATAAGTACGGTTTCAGACATTCCAAAAATTTAAGGGAATGCGGAATTCAAAAGTTCAAAAATTCCAGAAACTTCTGAACGATTTTCAGTGCTCAAACCAATTCTCCATATCTGCCTCAAAAATTCCAATATCCATTGAAAACCTATGTGCTAACCAGAGGAAAAGCGAACATCAACATCACTCGTGACACTGATGAATTTGGAAAAACCAAAGATTTTGGGAGAAAAGGATTCATTGCGTCCACATTTTTCGCCCAACTCGACGATAGGCAACATGCTTATGGGAAGATTTTGGCGCCAAGGGGATTTTCGAACGCCAAATTCAAATTGAGATTCATCAATGCGGATATGACCGGGAATACGATGATGTACATTGAAGGATATCAGAATGGAGTGACGATTTTCGAAAAAGAGTGAGTTCAAGAAAAAAGAAATAGAGAAAAAATAAATTTGTTTTCCAGCTATAACTCAACTGTGCTGCCAGACTTGAACAAAGATATTTTTATCACTGGAGACAGTTTTGAAATGTATTATGATAGCAATTCATTCTCCCAGCAGAAAATACCCACTAGAGGGGTCTATATGAAATTTGAAGTTTTGAAACCTTGAAATTGTTTTTTTTTTGATAATGAAGTTCTTATGTTTCTTGATTAATTGTTGTTAACTTTGTGGAAGTTTTTGGAATCTTACAGTTCAAGAATCTAAAATTAACTGATCGATTAAGTTTGGACCTTTTTATTTCCCGGATTTTTTGAAAGTTTTGGATTTTTTTTTGGATTTTTTAGATTTTCAAAAGATATTTGAAACCCAAAAAAGGTCCAAATTTTTTTTTGACTTCTAAAAATCCTTCAAAAGAACTTCCATATTTCTGCATTTCTGGGTTTTAGAATTTTTGAACTTTTGAGTTCTTGAATTTCCGAATTCCTGATTCTCTGAATTTTCGAATTTTCAAATTTTCAAATTTTAGAGTATCGGAATCACTGAATTTCTGACTTTTTGAATTTCGCAACTTTTGAATTTTGAAAATTATAAATTTCTGAATTCCTAAATTTTCGAATTTCAAGTTTTTTTTAATTTTTGAAAAACCTGAAGTTTCTTTTTTTTAATACCAATTTTTTCGATTTGAGAGATCTTTTGAATTTTTCGTGAATTGTATATTCTAGAATCTTCCTATCCTAATTTCCTAGCTACCGTGATCTAGAAACCTCTCCACGGCCGACTAACAGACAGCGCTCTATGGGACTTTCCCAGGGGTACACAGTACCCCCGCCCAATTCAAACACTGCAACACCCTTCCCCCCAACCCATTGATTTCTCATCTTGATACTTCTTTTTTCCTTCAAAAAAAATGAAAAAATGATGTTTCTTCACAATTTTCTAACTTGGCTAGAAACTGCCTTCGATCGCGAATATTCTGATGAAACTTGCTGCTGCAAACCATTGAAATTTCTCGGTTTACCCCAAAATGTGTTTGAGAACATTCTCCGGCAGATGGATTTTATTTCTGTGTAAGTTTGAAAAATGTCCAGTTCATATACCGTAGGACCCAATTTTTGAGTCTTTCAGTATATAATTTTCAGATTATACAAAACGAAAGTAGAGCTGTATTTTTGTAATTGACAATTTTTTGTACAAATTTATCAAAATGAGATATACCGCTGAAGCCAATAAAACTCTCTAACTCATAAACGGACGCTAGGCGGACGTCTGGCAGATGGACCATTATGCAGTTTCCGGTCCGTATCTTCATTATTTTCACTCTAAAATTCATGAAAACTATACCAATCAATGTATTTTTTCAAGAGCTTCAAATTGAGTATAAATATGTTCAGAAGTTAAGGAAAATGGAAAGTCTGAAAAAAATGATTTTCTCAAGAAGGTACTGTGTATATTTCATTGGGATGAGTTTTCCCGAAAAAGTTGTCAACTACAAAACATAATATCACCAACATTTTATCAGTTGCCCAATTTTCAACATCTTTGAAATGAACCGAGATAAATTGGGAAAAATTTACATTATTTTTTTCCAGATTCGACTTGTCTTTGCTCTCCAAAGAAATGCGCTTGAAAATCAAGCAAATCAATTTCCAATTAGACTGTTTAGAAATCAACAATTTTGGATCTAAAAACTGGATAAAATTTAGAAACTATTCCGAAGAAGTGCCAGCAATGACATTTAACTTTGACACGGATTATTATGATTGGGGGTGGAAGATCAAAATTGGAGAGAAGAATGTTGAAATGAGGTTTGTCGGTTTTTTTTATTTTTCTTCTGAAATCCTATGGGACCACCAAAATCCCATTTTTATTTTATTTATTTATTTAGAAGGGGAGAAAACCACTAACACGTGAAATGTCTGTGAAACTAGGAGATATAACAGGGACATACATTTGTATTAAATGGGAGATGGAGGAAAAACCGAGTTAGTAATTAGTTGAATTCAAGACAAGAAAATGTTTTAGATACAGGATAATAGTCGATTTTTGAAAGCCGCTGACGAGGGCTTCACCGGAAACACTTTGGCGGGTAAAGAGTTCCAACATCTGATTACTCTATTAGAGAGAAATTGAGAAGATATTTTTGTTGAGTTTTTGATAAGTGATTTGAGATAGTATTTGTGACGTCGCAATGATCCAGCATGATTAAATATTTCGAAAATTGGAACCTCCATGATAATTTCTTTGGAAACAATAATTTTATACGTGTAGACCATTATAGAGCCTGCGATACTCCAAGGAACTTAGCTGACATTCTTCCAGTGCTTCAAAGTATGAAGTGTATGCCATCCTGAATTTGTTGAAAATTCTGAAAACAAATGACTTTTGCACCGATTCCAATTTTATAATATGATCTTTTAGGATTGGAGAAGTGACTATCGTTCCATATTCGAGTAAAGGGCGTATGTAAATTGTATAGCATTTTATAAAAACACTCCACGATGCGTTTTTTAGAATGGAAAAGAACATGTTGATCCTCTGATGTGATTTCCGAATAATCAACGAATAATGATAATGGAAACTCAAGTTACTGGAAAAGTAGATCCCAAGATCACGGACATTTTCCACAGGGGGAATCAAAGCTTGATTTAATTTGGGATTCATAACATTGGAGTTGGCATATTTTCTTGTTGCATTTAAAAAAATTTTCTTGCTGCATTAAACCACTAAACTCAGATAGAGCTGTTTTTCAGAGGTCGTCTTTATTCAACCAACGATTACTACTGTCAAACTAAGGACTTTGAATCTGACCTCAAGAATCTTCTGGATTACTTCTCTAGTATTTTCCATTTTAAATCCGGATTCGCTGTTATTGAACTGGATAGCAAGTCACAGAAACTTCGAGAACTCTTATCCTATTTTCAACAATAGACTTGTTCTTCAATTATCTGGGGTTCTATACAGCTACACTGGATTAGATTCCTTGATTCAAGGGAACTATGACGGTCTTGAAGGCTTTGTGGCAGATTTTGAATTTGGGAATCGGTTTGATTATCGGGAGGTTCGATTTTTCTTTCAAATTTGGTGAAACTCATAATTTGAGCTATTTCAGATCCTCAAATTAAAACGTTGCTCATTCAACTATGCTAGATTCTTCACTCGCCAAGATTTGGTAAACCTGGAATTTGAAAACCTAAGAATTCAAAAGCATCGATTAACTGGAGACGTTGTGAATGCGTTCATAAAGTCGTGGTTGGCAGGAAATCACAAAAATCTTCAGCATTTGGGAGTTTCAAAAATTTTTGGACTGGAAGAGATGGAGGATGTGAGTAAAGGATTGGAGACGATGAAATGGGATGAGACCAAGAGAGATGGGCATTTTTTGTGAATTGGTGTTTGCGTACTTTTAGAGCTACAGTAATCCATAAAAATTCCCAAAAATTTTCAAAACAACGCTACCGATTTCTAGTTTTTGCATCTAAACTCAAATTTTGAGAAACATTTAAATATAAAAGAAAACATTTCAAAAAGTGTTTGCGTACTTTAGTCCAGTGACCGTTTTTTGCTCTTTAATTGAATCACCTACCTAACCTTCAACTTTGAGCCATATCTCATTTGAATGAATTTGTACAAAAAAGTGGTCAACTACAAAAAAGAAGCTACATTTTGTTCACTATACTCGGCTATTTTTAGACAAGTTAAAAAATTCCGAACAACTTTTTCTATACTTCAAAATAGGCAACTAACTTCAGTACACACTAATAGAATAGCTCCCAAATCGTACACTTTTAGGTCTTATATCTCCTTTCCTGTAACATATATCAAATAGTGGTCAACTAACAAAATGTTTATTATAATATCAAAAACATTTCATCAGTTTATTACTTTTTGATATCTTTAACAGGAACTGAGATAAATTGTCTCAAAGTTGAAAGTTAAGGGGTGATTCTATTACTGTAACTGAAACCAATAACCTTCTCAATTAACTTTTGAACTTTAAAATATTTATCATATTATTACCAATGTTTTATCAGTTGACACATTTTTGATATCTTCCACTGTAAGTGAGATAAATGGGCTCAAAGTGGACGGTTAGTGGTTCATTTAGTGTTTAGGCTATGATAATTTTGAGCCAACTTATTTCGATTCCTGTGAAAGATATCAAAATTTTGTCAACTGATATATTGTTTATCATAATTTAGCCAATAATTTATCAGTTGACAAAATTATCATATCTCTTGCAGGAACCGAGATAATTGAGGTCGAAGTTCACGTATAGGGAAGGGTTCTATTAGAGCAAATATGATATATGTGTCGACCGTAGTTATTCATGAAGTCTGTCTCTGTATGTCTTGATGTCCTGAAGTCCAAAAAAAAAATATATATATATATATAAATCATTCCAGAACAGTATCCGAACTACAAATACTATTGATTGTCGTCAAGGGTTGGATGTTCAGAGAGTTGATGGCACAATCGGAACAATGATGTTCAAAAATGATCATTTCTTGTTTCTGGTCTGGAAGATTCCATTTGTTGGGAGAATCGATCAATAATCTGTCTTAGTAATTCGATCTCCAAACTTTTTGTTCAGTGGAGCGCGATTGAAAAACGGAAAATTTCGAAAATTCAAAAACTTAAAATATCAGAAATTCTAAATTTTGAAAATTCTAAATTCAGAAACTCAAGAATTCAAAAGTTCTAAACATTCTAAAATTTCTAAAATTTCATATTTTCAAAAATTTCAAAAAATTGCAAAAGCGCTCCACTGAACAAAAGGGTTTGTAGTTCGATTTTTGATTCAAGTTGTGTGTTTTTTTTGTAATTCTTCATATCGTTGTCAATTTTTCTATTTTTTTCAATAAAATTCAGTTCATAATTTGGCTCAAAACATTGCACAGAAGAATCGGGGTGTGGCGGAACAACAAAAAAGTGAGAATACCCGGTGGTGTTGTTAATATATTTTTAGTCATTTAGCATAATAAATTTGTTTTAAATTAGTGGGGGGGGGGGTCCGTAAAAAAAGGCAACATGTACAAAAAAAATTAGTTAGTTTTTTGGAAAAATTAGTCTTCGTGTTGATTTCCATCGTCGTTGAGAAGCGGAGATTCTTCGCCACTTCGCAATTTCCTAAGCGATTTCAAATCGATGATGCAGCGTTTCAGAATGGCCAGAATCGCGAATCCGTTCTGAAATTTTTTTTCGAATTTTTAAAATTTTGAAAAAATTGTTTTTTGGTTTTTTTAAATTTTGAAATTTTTTTTTGATTTTAAAAAATTTGAAAAAATAATTTTTTCTAATTTTCCCGCCAAAAGTTTCAAAAGTCCTCACCAGCAACATAAACACATAGAACACGGCCTTCCATCCCAGATCGTCCTGAATAATTGGGATGAGCAATTGTCCAATCGCCGATCCTGCCGATCCAGTACCATCCAACAGCCCGGATACTGTAGACATGGCTTGAGTGTTGCCAGCCAGTGCCGGTTGTGATCCCAAATCGATGGAAATCGATCCGACGATTAGGTTGTAGGGTCCGGATACTGTAACTCCTACAGTAGTCATCACCAGGGCATTCCAGAACATGTACGGGCCGACGTGGGCGTAGAAATAGAGGCAGCCGATGGAGCAGACGAGCATCGCGACGATCAGTGGCGATCGTTTGCCCATTTTATCCTAAAATCGATTTTTTGTTGATTTTGGGATTTTTCAAAATTTTTTGGGATTTCTAGGCCATGACCCAGTTTTTCAATTTTCTAGGCCATGACCTAACTTTTTAGGATTTCTAGGTCATGACCGAATTTTTGGGTTTTCTAGGTCACGAGTTATTTTTTTGAATTTTCTAGGTCATTTACTATGGTGGCCTAACTTTCCAAGATTGATTTTTCTAGACCACCATGCAAAATGATCTAGAAATGGCCTAGCAAGCCGTTGGTGTGCTTTCTAGGCCATTTTGACATTTTGGCCTAACTGTTACAAGTTGAATTTTCTAGACTATCATGCTAAATGACCTAAAAATCGCTTGAAATCCACCTGGTGTGTTTTCTAGGCCATACCAACATGGTGGCCTAACTTTTGCAAGTTGAATTTTCTAGGTGACCATACAAAATGACCTAGAAAACACACCAGGTGAATATCAGATCAATTCTTTGCCCAAAATCATATCAAAATGACCAAAAACGAGAAAACACGTCTTTAATTTCTGTTTATAATGTCCTACAATGATAAGATCAGCATGGCCAAATTTCGGATTTCTAGGCCGCAAACTTTTTTGACCTAGAAATGGTCCGATATTCACCTGGTGTGATTTCTAGACAATTTTAAATTGGTGGCCTAACTTTTGCAAATTGCCTTTTTTCTAGGCCACACTTACCGTAATATATCCACCAAGGACACTTCCAATAATTCCTCCAAAATCGTACCAGATGCTCAACTGATCCGCTTGTGATTCTTCCCAATTGTAGGCGTCAGTCAAGTATAGTGGAAGCCAGAAGAAGAACGCGTAGTTCACAAGCTTCAGACAGGCGTTGCAGATACAGTATGCCAGGACGCCGGGCAGCAGAACGGCTTTGAATAGCGAGATTGGTTCTCCGTGGAAATTGTGATGGGGTTCATTGCTGGAAAAATGGAGAATTCAGACTTTTTGCGTTAAGATGAATCTTCAAAAATCAACCAAAACTGGGTGTTTAGAAATGGAAAAAACACTAACTTTTAAAAAAGAGGAAAAACGGTCAAAAATGATTTTTGAAAAATCGGAAAAGAATTATTGCTCATGCTAAAAATCACAATTATCATGCTACAACCACAAAACTAAAATACAACGAACTTTCTATAAGGAGTGTTTTCCCACCTGTTAGATCTTCGGACGAGACGGATTCTGGAGAAACATAGGATTTTAAAGAGAAAAATTGATCTAGAAATAGGCTTAAAATGGAACAAACTTCACTAAAAAATCGTTCGAAACTACCGTACTTCCTCTACTAGAAGCCCACCGATGCCATCAACTTTAAGCTCAATTATCTCGGTTCCTGTAAAAGATATTCAAAACTTGTCAACTGATAAAATACTTATTATAATATCACCAATATTTTATCAGTTAAAAAATGTTTAATATTTTTGACAGGAACCGAGATAATCAAGCTCAAAGTTAAATGCACTAAAATTTGTCAAAATTTTCTGAAAATTGATCAAAAATCGACTGAAAAAAATGGGGTGCAAAATCAGTGAAATTTCATTAGAGATAGTCCAAAAATTAACTGTAATTAGCTTGAAAAATTAATTTATTGAATTTCAAGATTATGACCCTTTAAATTCGGCAAAAAAAAGTAGCTCAAAATGGACTTTTTAGGCCAAAATTTCAGGAAAAATTTCACTAAAACTGTCTGAAACAAGCTAGAAAAGGTCGGAAATTGGCTAGAGATGAGAAAAATAGCTTGAAAATTGACCTAAAGTGGTCTAGGGGTCCTACAACGATAAGTACCGTAAATCCTGTAATAGAAGGACCCCCTAACTATCAAGTTTGAGCCCAATTATCTCGGTTCCTGTGAAAGATATAAAAAATCTGTCAACTGATAAAATGTTGGTGATATTATGATAAACAATTTATCAGTTGACAACTTTTTAATATCTTTGACAGGAACCGAAATAATTGAGCTCAAACTTGAAAGTTTTGAGGCTCTTCTATTACAGGTTTCACAGTGCTTGTCGTTTTTGAACTTTCGGCCATAATTATGTCGATTTTGAACCTTTTTTCTCATTTCTAGCCATTTCCAAGCCGTTTTCAGTCTGTTTCAGACAGTTTTATTGAGCTTTTTTTTGAAAAATTTGGCCTCAAAGTCAATTTTTAACCATTTTTGCTCAAACTTGACAGTTTTGGGGCCCTTCTATTATAGGTTTGACGGTACGTTTTTTTGTGGAAATCCCCACCTATTAGCCTCCACACCAGCTTCATGCTCCTCATTTGGCGTCGAATCGATAGCCATCACCACAACAACTGCTCCAATCGCAATCATCACTGAATTCAGCAAAAACGTGTATTCGTATCCCAATGGCAGCACCATCGCAGTGAAAATCGATCCGAATATGTTGCCAACTGGCTGACAAGCCGCCCACACACCCATCACGAATCCACGATTCCCTTTTCCGAACCAATTGGCCATTATGGCGATTTCACTGGGCCAACCGCAAGCTTGAACGAGGCCGAAGGCAATGTAGGTGATGATGTAGTAGGGGACGTGGTAGAAATTCAGCCACTTGGGGATTGTTCCAAATAGAGTGAGCTGGAAGAGGAAAGTCACTTGAAATCCGGAAAAAGTGGTCCAAAATCCATAAAAATTTACAAATTTGGATTTTTAAAAGCTTTCTTTAGAGCAAAAGAGCCTCAAATCTGCCCCTACCGTAATCGCGGATCCAATCATTCCTGCGGCCACCACCAACTTCGGATTCAACCGATCCCCCAACCATCCCCAGAAGAACAATGCCGCGGCGTAGGCAGCCATGAAAATGGCATCCAGAGATCCCAAAAAGTGCTTGGCATCGGCTTCTGAGGTGAATAGCGGTGGATGGGCGGACGTGTTACTCAACCAGTCGGCTTTTATCGACGATTTCACTCCGGACAGCGATTTACGACTCGCATGGTAGAGACCGTAGCTGGAAAATTGTGTTTTGACGGTATTAAAGTGAACATTTGGCTGTTTTGATCGTGAAAACCTTATTTTTCAGCTAAAAATCAACCCAAAACGCCAAAAAACGTTTGAAAGTTTTTTTTCGAAGCCAAAATGTATTTTTCAAATATTTTCGTGCTGACATCAAATGGAAACTGAAAATTTTTTGACGTTTGGACACAAAAAAACCCAACCTTTGAGATCAAAATTGACCCTAAACGTCTGGAAAATCGCTAGAAAAATGGCTAAAAAACACGTTTTCCGAAAAAATTTTTTTTTAAGAAGCCAAAAACATTTTTGAAGCTAACTTTTCCCGAAATATTTTTATTCCATAATAATCTTTATTTTCTCGCAAAAATATCCACATTTTCCCGAGTTACAGCTCTTTTTTTTCCTCCATTTTTAACCTCAAAAATTGGCTGCGGCGCGGAAAAGAGGGCGGAGCCTATCCTTCGCAAGGCTGCGGCGCGGAAATATTGCTATTTTATTTTTCGACAAATTTTCAGCTTTTTTACTGAAAATCAGCTTAAAATAGCTTAAAATTGAGCATTGTTTTTGTGATTATTTCAATTTTCTCACCTGACAAACGTCACGACGAACACCAACGCCTTCCGCGACGACGTCGACATCTGCATCAGAGAATTTTATAAAATTTTGTATAGAGATGTCTAAATGACAAACGAGCCTATTGTGCTGCTATCAAATTGATAACAAGAAGGCATATTGATAAGAGAAAATGTAGGAAATAGTACTGATAACCGAGAGAAGTTAGAGAAAAAGGACAAAAACTTTTTGTGGCAAAAGTACTTTGAAAAGTTGATAATAACTAATATAGTTTGAAGCTAATAAAGAAATGTACACTACAAAGTGCACTACAAAGTACAAAAAATTATAATTTTTTGAAAAGAATTTATTTTTAGCGTCACAGCTGAAAAATGGATTATTTAAAAATAGTGAAAAACGAGGTTTTTTGAGGGGACAAGGGAAATTGGCTAGGATGAATCATGAGACACAAAAAACGAGAGAAAATAAACACAAAAATTGGAAAAGAAAAAATAATTGTTTGTGTGTGTTTATAGAAAAAAAAGCATGAGGGTTTGGGTCTCGAAGCGAAAATTTTGAAATTAGAAAACATTCCTCTAAAATGACGGATTTTGAGTTTTTTTTTTCGGTAAAAGTTCGATTTTTTCAACCATAATTGAGTAAATTCTGTGAAATTAGCTCTATTTTTGATTGAAAATGTTTCGAATTTCGACGCTGAAAAAAGCCGAAAATTGAAGGATGGGCGGAGCTTAGTGCTCATTTTTAGGCTAATATTTTCAATAATTTTCACTATTTTTAGAGAATTTTTTGTGCGATTTTCATGGAAAAAAGGTCAAAATCGATAAAATTCATCGAAAAATCGCTTTTTTCCGATTTTTTTCATCGTTTTTTAAGAATGTTTTTTCCATAAAAAAAATACCGAAAAATTCGCAAAAAAACCACAAAAATTATCACAAAATAGAGAGGGGAAAAAATACTTTTTTCGATTTTTTGTGAAAAGTTCAAAAATCCGGAAAATTGCAAAAAAAAAATGAAAAATTTACCTCGATTTTTCGATGAACTTCATAGAACTCTTTTTTTCAAAATAAGTGTAATCAAAAATTCGCAAAAAAATGCTCCTTTAAAGACTTAAGCTTCGCCCTCTTTCGAAATTTGGGTTTTTTGCAGAGAAATTTCACAATTTTTTCGCTTCAAAACAACCTCTCCCAGTAATACAGATGGAATTTTCAACATTTGGAAAAAAAGAAAAATTGCAAAAAATCACAGCAAAAAATCAATTATTTAATGTATTTGTCCATGAATTTCTTGTGGAATTCCGATCTGATCGCATCGTTGATGAATGTCACATTCTTCTTTCTCTCCTCGACTCCCTTCGCACAATTCTTGAATACCACGTCATCATCCCATCGTCGTTTCACCGTAAAGTCTCCAGAAGACCCCGACGATCCAGATGGCCCCGACTCGTTGAGCAGTGGATTTCCAGCTAGAATATTCGCCATTCTCTCCTTCTCTTCCTTCTCCTTGATCTCCTCATCTCTCGCCGCCTTCTCCTCGGCTCTCTCCTTCTTAATCTTCTCCAATTCTGCCATCAACGCTGCTGTATCGTCCTCATCAGAATCGTCGTCATCTGATGAGTTCAACTCGTCCACTGCTTCATCTGCGTCCACGGCGGCTGCAGATTCCGCCGCGATTTGATCCATTCGTTGACGTTTAGAGTGGTTGGAAGACGTGGAAGAGGCAGATTCACGGGCACGCTTCTCGCGAGCGGCATTGCGTTCCTTGTCTTCCAATTCGCGACGGAGATCCTGAAAAAAAAGAGATTCTAGAAGTTCCAGAGGGTCTCAGGTGGTGTTTTGAAGCCTAGAAACGCCCAGAAAATATTCAGAAACCCAAAAAACTACAGGAGTGCTATTTTTAAGATACAGAAGCTCTAAGGGACCGTACTGAGCTTCAGAAGCTAGCTGTGGACCTGGAAGAGTATGGAAACCTGTTTCAGCTCTAAAACCTATTTTCAGAGCCTTCAAATCACAATTTTGACTTTGTGGATCATTACAAAAGCTCTCAACATCCATTTTTTCTCTTTTAGAAACTCCAGAAGCGCCGTTTTAGACTCCAGAAGTTTTACACGCTCTCTTTACTCCGTTCCTCTTACCTTCTTTCTCAAATCGTCCTCGGTTCCCTGTCCGGTCTGTCTGTACTTCATCTTCGTGTGCGACGGCATGTCTTTTGACGAGTATTGAGCCGACAATTTGGACAGATCACCCTCACCACGGGCGGTTCCTCCGCGAGCCGGGAAAAAGGTGGGACGATGGGCCGTGGTCATTTTTGGACGCTGAACATTTAAAATTTAACGGGAAATCTCGACAAATTTGAGCAAAAATGAGTAGAAATATGAGAAATAGACAAAAAAATGATTCAGAAAATTGGCAAAAGTCGGAAAATCCAGGAATTAGTTTCAATAGATTTTCACGAGAATATAACAGCAAAACCAATATTCCAACTGAAAAACGCGAAAAATTTACTACGAAAAACCAATAAAACCGTCGAAGAATTTTTCAAGTTAAAAAACCGAGGATTTCTCGACCTTAATAGTGTTAATTCATAATTTTCTTGATTTAAAACAAAATTCACCTAATTTTCGAAATATTTCACAAGAAAAACCACGAAAAATGACCAAAAACGAGAGGAAATCGAGAGAAAAACATTCGAAAAGGCAAAAAATTGATTTTCGGCAGATGGAAGAGAAAGGCGCTTGCTCTTCCACGCGTTTGCGAAACCTCGGCCCTCTCTTGCTTATTTGCGCGCGCAATTCAAACAGAAAATATAAAAAGTCAATTTATTGAAAAAAATCGAATAAAAACCCTTTAAAGATCAATTTAGAACCTATTCGAAGCATTACTTGTGACCATTGTCATGCTGTGTCCAGATTTTCGTTTTTTATACAAGGAAACTATCCATCGACGGTATTCAGCGTTGAAAAAACAAATTACTATGCTGAAAAAGATTATTTTTCAAATTTAAAATTAATTTTCCTACTTACGGAGCTAAACAATTAACACCACAAGAGGATAGAGTAGTAGAGAAAAATATTTTCCAGTTTAGTTCTCTTCCAGGTAAAATTGAATAGCCGGAAACATACCAAAACCCGACAAACATCATAACTGCTCCCTGGACAATTACCTATACAGCGAAAATGCCTCAAATTATCAATAGAGCGTGATTACCTGCATTGCGAAATTAATTTCTCGTTTTCGAATGTATTTACTTTCAGCTTTGAACAGTTTTCGACGGCAAGTAACCAGGATAATAAATGTTAAAATATCGAAAATTGTGATGAAGGAAACTAGAAAAAATTGAACAGTAAAACTTAAAAAGACTAGTTTTGAACCGCATTTCTGAATATCCGATTTTTTTTTTGAAATTTCGAATTTCCCGCCAATCCAACCTCACTTCTCAGGGCTTCCATAAACACCCAACCGAGTTGAAAAAATGGGAAACGGCAATTATAGAAAAAGAAAAAATAGGAATAGAGAAGTGGAGGAGCCGTCCAGTTGATTAAAATATAGATTATTACAGATTTTTGACTGAAAATGAATTTTTTAAAATTTTGAATTTTTTTAAAATTTGAATATTCGAATTTTCGAATTTTTGGAAATTTTGAACTTTTCAATTTTTTTAATTTCTGCGTTATGGAGAACTTCAGACCTCTCGATTTTCAGATTGCTATTACCTAAAAACATTTTTATATTTAAACGGCATACTGGAAGCACAAAATCGATTGAATGCCATTAGTGTGTGAGATCCCAGAATTATTGGAAAAATTGTGATTGAAATATTTCCAAAAATCGCCGAATTGCTAACAATTGTTATCGAATTTCTGGAATTTTTAGGATTACTGTAGTTCTTCCAAAATCAAACAAGCAAAAAATCTCACAATAATAATCCGAAGAAAAAGAATGAGAAACTAATTACAGTAGCCGCAAACTGTCCAAAAGTTTCATTCAAAATTAAAGCTCCAAATATCGATCCTTTGATGTTTTTGATATTATAGGCACCAATTACAACGACAATTTGAATAAGAAGGCCTAGAATGCACACCTGGAAGAGGAAAAAAACTTGATGGCCGAGGTTTTCTAAAAGTTCGGCCACCTAGTCTCACCGAGCTAATAATGATTCCAACAGTTGTTTCTTCCTTTCCAAAAATATAATTCTCATCAGCTTCCGTGAAATATGAATCATTTCGAAATGTTGACCTACAAAATAAATTTGATGGCCTAGAAATCCAAAGTTTGGATTTCTAGGCTACTTACACCATTTACTGACGTCTTGAGAACACAGAATTTAGATCACAAATATCTATAAAATTGAAAGAAAAATGAGGAAAAGTACGAAAAACACGACAGGTGTTTTGCTAATGTTTTTCGGAAATAATTATAGCTGCTTTAAGGCTCCGCCCACTTTTTTCTGACATATGGAAAAGGCTACAAAGAAGCATTATGAGTGGGCAAAAAATTGGCGGGTAAAAAAATTTTTTGGAAACTTTGAAAGTTTGGCAGTGACAAATTTTTTGATTTTTATTTATTTATTTATTGATTACGACCTTCCTCGTGGGAAAAGAGAAAAAAGAGAAAAGGAATACAATACAATCACACAAAACACAGATACACGAATAACTAAACAACACATTCAATTAAAGTGGAGAACCGAATAGTAACACTATTTCCAAATAATAGCACATAACCATCAACACATACACGCATACAGAATAAAAATTATACCTGCAATAATGATTAACAGAAATAATAAATTATTTTGCAACTTAGAGAGAGGGGGCCTTGGGTTCTCAATTAGACTCAGAGTGCGGTTGACAAAGAAGTTTCGCCTTAGTTTAGATTTAGGAATGGGCCAGAGAAATCGTGTCTTTCTTCTAGTACGTGTTTCAGTTGACGCGAAAAATTCAGTTACGTTCAGACCTATTTTTTCCGATATCATTTTTGATACCATTTTCCTGTCTATTGCTAAGCGTCTAGAGTGTAGTGAATTAAGACCAAAGAGTAGGTTGCGCTCGCTCGCAGATTTATATTTCTTATCGTTTGGGTTAACATATCTTCCTAGTTTACGACTATACAGTCTTCTAGTGAAAGAGTTTTGCACTGATTCTATTAATTTAATATCTGATAATTTGAAGGGACTACTGATTACCGTACCATATTCGAGCACAGGCCTTATGAAAACTTTGTATAAAAGAACCATTAATCGGGTGTTTTTACTATTAAATTGCTGGAAAACTTGAGACAGGATAAATTTAGCCTTGTTAGTTGCTTGTCTCCAGTGCTCAGAAAAATCCAGTTTTTCAGATACTAGAAATCCTAAGTCACGAGTTATTGTCTCTTTTTTAATAGATTGACCTTCAATAAAGTAGTTCATAGTTTTCTTGCATTTACCTACTGTAAGAGCAACGGTTTTACTTGCGTTAAGAGGGAGTTTGGATTTTTCAGACCAATTTTGTATTAAGTCTATGCTTTTTTGCAGCGGGCTGTCAGGATCATTTTCGTTAATCGAGGCATATAGTTTAGTATCATCTGCAAACTGTTTACAATGAACTTCGTGAGGGAGGAAAGACGATATTTCATTAACATAGATCCCAAAAAAAACTGGGGACAAAACTGCACCTTGCGGGACTCCGCAAATTGCTAGTTTTCAACCTGAAAGCGTGGTCCCCACCTTTACTCTATAATTACGACCAGAAAGAAAATCATCAAGCCACATTAACAAGTGAGCATTCAGTGAGAAAAATGAGGAAAAGTACGAAAAACACGACAGGTGTTTTGCTTATGTTTTTCGGAAATAATTATAGCTGCTTTAAGGCTCCGCCCACTTTTTTCTGACATATGGAAAAGGCTACAAAGAAGCATTAGGAGTGGGCAAAAAATTGGAGGGTAGAAAAATGTTTTGGAAACTTTGAAAGTTTGGCAGTGACAAATTTTTTGATTTTCTTTTTCAAAAACTGATTTTTTGAGCAAAAAGATTTATTTTGGGAAGTTCAAGGAATAGGTTGGAGTAAACATATTTCGAAAGTTGGATTTTCGTTTTTATGGGGGTAATAGATACAATTATTATGAGAAAACTCGCAAATATAATATGTGGGGAAGTTTAGAAATTTGGGACCAAATCTGAAATTCCAGAATGTTCTGGAAAGTTCTGAAAATCCAGAAAAATTGGAAATTTTAGAAAATTCTAAAAATCTAGAAAGTCCTGAAATCCTGAATATCTAAATTTCTGGATTCTGAAGTTTTTAATGTTTTGAATTTCTAATTTTTGAAATTTCCGAATTTCTGTTTTTTTGAATTTCTAAAGTTTTTTTTTGAATTTAGGAAAATAACAAATTATGAAAATTCAATGTATAAATTCATGAAAAAAATGTTCAGGTGTGACTGCTGACGGCTGCCGATGGAGAGATCATTGTGACGTTGACTTTGTTGTTTTGGAACCAAAATCGAAAATTCAAAATCCATTTTCGGAATTCAGGATTGAACATGATGACGACGATTCTAAAAACAAATTACGCATTTTGGAACCTTAGAATTCAAAGAAACATACGGATCAAAAACATGAAGCAAGTTTGAAGAGAAAGACGTTGTGAAAAAATACTTCCATCTATCATCATTTCCCGGAAGAATTGCATAACCCATATCGTACCAAAATCCGTGAGCAACAAACACAATTCCTTGGATTAAGACCTAAAATTGCTCATTTTAATTTTCTACAATATCTTGGCAGTGTACCTGTCCGGCAAAACTCATCTCCCGACGACGAACTGCTGCGCTTTGTTTGTTGTATACGCGATTCTAAAATTGAACGTTCAAAAGTTCCAAAATTTTGAACAATTTGACGATTTTAGAAGCTGAAAATCTAGAAAATCCAAAAAATGTTTGAACATTTTGATTTTTCTCCAAATTTTGAGAAAAGTAAAAATTATATTTTGAAATATCTGAAAAATCCGAAAACTGAAAAACTCAAAATTTTACTTTAAAGTTGGCGAATTTCTGGAAAACTCTAAGTCTTGGAAAAAATCGAAACATTTGAAATTGTTGGAAATTCAAAATTTTGGAAATTTCTTTAGATTCTTAATTTGTGAAATATCTGAAAAATTGGAAATTGCACAAGTTCAAACAATTTGGAAAGTCTCAAAAATCTTTTGAAGATCAGTAAAATGCTGAAAATTCAAAAAATCTCAAAATTCTGAAAGTCGCAAATTCAAATTACAAAAATCTCAAAAATGTAAAAGTTTCAGAAAATTTAGGAATTCATAAAATTAAAAACTGGAAATTGAAGAAAGGCAATTTAGAGAATAAGAGAAATTTCAAACTTCTAGAAATTCTTGAAATTCAAAAAACAAAAATTTCTCGAAAATTCTGGAAAACAAAAGATACCGTAAAACCTCTAATAGAACGACACCCGGATCGTCCACTTTGAGCCTATATATCTCACTTCTTTTGAAAGATATCAAAAAGTGGTTAACTAGTA